GAATCAAGCCATGAGCTTGTTCGGCTTTGGCTTCCTGTTTAGCTGCAGCCTTTGTGTGGCAAGTGTCCTTACTGCTGCTGACTAACCTCCCCTCGCTCACAGTGTCCGTCCCACTGTCTTTGGCTGAGGCAGGAGACAGAGCCAATGTTCCTTGAGTTACCACGGCTACGTAGGAATTAACTTTTCCTGATTTCCTGGGGAGCACAACAGGTCCAATTTTTCAGATGGCCAAATAAAATGCTGAGGTGAGCAGCTCTGGTTACCCGAACCAGAGCTCCGGAGGAGCTGAGAGCTGCCAGGAGCTCACAGCTGGCTGGTCCTGGGAGGGCCAGGAGCAATGGTGGCCAAGCCCCTCCTCATCATAAAAGGAGCCCCTGGGGACTGGGAGCAGCCAGGGCGGGCAAACAGGCCGTGGCATGGGAGATGGTGCAGAAGGGCGTGCAGGAAGGGACCCGAAGCCCTGCCAGCTTGACCAGGGAGCAGTGATGTTCACCTAGCGGAGAGCCACAGCCTCACCAAGTTCTGCACCCACCACGACTGATGCAGCTGCCCAGACAGAGCTCTGGGGGGGATCATGCTGCCACCCAGGTGTCAGCTGCAGGCTGTGCCCTGCTCTTAGGCCAGTCCCAACGACAGGAGCATGAGCACAGCCATGGGAGGTACATCCAGGTAGAGGAACTTCTCCACTTAGGGCTGGAGCTGCAGGAGGAGGTGAGTGGGGTGAGGAGTATCTGCCAGCCTTCTTTGCCTCATCCTTTAATAGTAAGACCAGTTATTCTCCAGGTACCAGTCCCCTGAGCTTGAAGACAGAAGTGGAGAGCAGAATGCAGCCCCCACAATCCAAAGGGAAATGGTCAGCAACCTGCTACACCACTTAGACACAAGCCTATGGGGCTGAATGGGATCCAGCCAAGGGTACCAAGGGAGCTGGAGGAAGAGCTCACTGAGCCCCTTTCCATCACTTATCAGCAGTCCTGGTTAAGGGGGAGGTCCCAGGTAGCTGGAGGTTAGCAAATGTGGCACCAAATCTACAAGAAGGTCCAGAAGGAGGATCTGGGGAACTACAGGTCTCTCAGCCTGACCTTGGTGCCAGGGAAGGTCATGGAGCAGATCGTCTTGAGTGCCATCATGCAGCGTTTACAGGACAACCAGGGGATCAGGCCTAGTCAGTGTGGGTTTGTGAAAGGCAGATCCTGCCTGACCAGCCTGATCTCCTTTTATGACAGCATGACTCATCTGGTGGATGAGGAAAAGGCTGCGGACATTGTCTCCTGGACTTTGGTAAAGCCTTTGACAGTTTGCCACAGCATTCTCCTGGAGAAACTGGCTGCTCATGGCTTGGATGGGTGCACCGTTCACTGGGTAAATAACTGGCTGGATGGCTGGACCCAGAGAGTGGTGGGGAAGGGACTTACATCCAGCTGGGGCTGGTCACCAGTGGTGTTCCCCAGGCACAGTACTGGCATCAGTCCTGTTCATTATCTTTGTCTGGATGAGGGGATCAAGGACACCCTCAGTCAGTTTGCAGGTGGCACCAAGTTGGGTGGGAGTGTTAATCTGCTGGAGGGTAGGAAGGCTCTGCAGAGAGATCTGAACAGGCTGGATCAATGGGCTGAGGTCTGTTGTGTGAGGTTCAACAAGGCCAAGTGCCAGGTCCTGCCCATGGGTCACAACAACCCCATGCAATGCTCCAGGCTTGGGAATAAGTGGCTGGAAAGCTGCCTGGCAGGAAAGGAACTGAGGATGCTAGTTGACAGTGGCCGAACGTGAGCCAGCAGTGTACAACTGCCTGAAAGGAGGCTGGAGCCAGGGGAGAATCAGTCTCTTCCAAATGAGAAGCGATAGACCAAGAGGAAATGGCCACAAATTGCGCCAGGAGAGTTTTAGATTGTATGTAGGACAACTTTCTTCACTGAAAGGGTTGTCAAGCATTAGAACAAGCTACACAGGGCAGTGGTTGAGTCACAGTTCCTGGAGGTATTTAAAAGGTGTGTAGATGTGGCACTTGGGGACATGGTTTAGTGGTGGGCTTGGCAGTGCTGGGTTAATGGTTGGACTCGATGAGCTCAGAGGTCTTTACCAACCTGAACGATTCTGTTCTACTCAGAAGATTTTGTTTCTCTTGTGGGGTCCCATTTTTCTCTCTCAGCTCAAGCTCTGTCTGTGGGAGGGACTTCCTTGCAAAAGACTAATGCAGGGTGGAGATGGGCTGCCCTGTATGTGTAAAGCTTTCATCAGAGTGAAACATGTTTGTATTCCTGTGAGAAGTGAAGGAACGAGTGACAGTTTCTGTTTCCAGTATAGCTTTTATTTTTTCCTACCCACGAAGGAACAGACAGCCGTCCTGTAAAAGGAAAGCACTTTGTAATGGCACATGTTTGCTGGGCATAAAGTCTAAATACTTCTGTTGACAAACTACATTATTTGATTGGGGGGATAGGGAATTTCCTATTTATTTTCTGTACCTGTAAGTATTTTAGCATCTCTGCTTTAAAAAAACCCACCACCACAACTTCCCAGAAGATAACATATGGAAAGTATGAAAATCAAATGGTAGGCTTTTATTTTAATTAGCATACAGAATAACATTGGCACTGACTTTTTAAAGACAACTGCTGTCCTGAGAGGCCTTACTTTTTATTTTATTAAATACTGTATTTATTTTTCTTTGCATCAGCAAATCTAGAGATTTTTCTTTTCAAAGCAATTCCTGGGAGGCAGACCAGATTCAGCAGAAATAATCTCTGCCAGTGGCTGTTTTCAGCATGGACTGTGCTTGCCTGGCTGAGGCTCTCTGACATGCAGGGAAACTCACCTCCAGTATCCCTGTGGTTCCATGTTTGAAACAGTCTCTGGTGCTAAACTCTCAGTCACTAGATACTGAAAGATTGCAGCTGTGTTTTTATCCGCCGAGCTGGGATAGGAAATGTAGAATAGACATACTAAAAAAACCCCAGCAACACAAAAATCCAGTCCTGAGGGGGTCAAGTCTTTTGCATGATTTACAGGCTCCCCGAGAGAGTATATTAGGATTGACAATAGCATTGACCTTGCAGAAAGAAAAGAGACAAATGCTACAAAATCTCTGGAACCATCTCGGGTTTTCTGACTGCTCTCAGATTAAACAATTAGTCATATATATACTTTTGAAGGATTAGAAATAGGCTGTTTCTGTTGCAAAATGCATAGATAAATAAGTTTCAGACACTTGCATTCCAAGGTTTTAAAAGATTGGTTAATTGTCTTCATTTTTAAATTAAACAGTAGAATACCTTATCCAGAGCTTGACTATGATTCCCATCCCTGCAATGAAGATGTGTGAAAATGGGCCGATAGCTTGCTGTGGTTTTCATGTGTTTTGGGACAGAAGCATGAGAGCAGTAAAGTCAGGGAAGTTTGAGAAGCACAGAAAAGTTTATTTATTTAAGAAAAAAAAAAGAAAAAAGATAACCACACATATGTAAAATTCCATACAGCT